ATATATATATATATATATATATATATATATATATATATATATATATATATATATATATATCCCTCTGGACAGAGGAAAGAGTGCTCAAGCTTTTAACCCAAAGCCATAGCTGTTGCTGTGACTCGATGACGTGAGTCCACTCCAGCTGTCTTACAGACTCCGGTTAGCTGCCTTTTCTACAGGAACATTTTCAGTACAAATTACAAACAGTGGTAATGCTAATATGTCTATAACTTTTATCATTTTTGTAAACTTAAAAAATTAATGCAAGCCTCGGCGAGTCACAACTTGGATCCACCTGTCACAGGTCAGATGGATTCCAGATAAGTACTGCTGTCAATCAACAGCCTCACAACCCCACACTCCCTCTGGGTGCTCCTCACGTGTGTGTGACCTCTCTCTCCCTCCCTCCCTCCCCCCTTCCTCACCTCTCTGCTGCACAGTTAATATCTCCACAATGGCGGAGTTGAATCTGCAGAACGTGTCCACCTTGGCCCGCTTCTGCTCCAGGAAGCCCTTCTGGCTGTTCCAGTACTCGGCTTGGATCCGTCCCAGCTCCGTCACGGCTTGGTACCTGCCCACACAGCTGTCAAACCGCAAGTGTTCCTCCTGGTTATAGATGTGTCTCTGCAGGTACCGCACCCGCTCCATCCCACTGGAGAAACGGCATTCACTTTTCACTTGTTGCAAGAACCGTGCTGTGGAGACAAGAGTGTCAGCCGCCCAGGTGGTTCTCTCAGGGACCAGACCCCTCAGATCCATCAGTCCCTCTCCAGATGCCCAAACCAGCTGGGCATGAGTGCCCTGGACCACCTCTGCCTATCTCTCTCTCTCTCTCTCTCTCTCTCTCTCTCTCTCTCTCTCTCTCTCTCTCTCTCTCTCTCCATAAAAGACAAAAGAACCCAAATTCTGGGAAAACCTACCTTCACTGCCAGAAAAAGCACAGACACCCCGCCCTCTTATTAGCCCCCCCCTCCCCTCATTCCTTTGCTCCTCCTCTGTGACCTCGTCTGTGACCTGCACATCCCAGTGGGTAGAGAAGTTGCTCTGCCATTCCATCCCCCACTTCCCCAGTCTTGGCCAAGAGAACAAATCTCGGCTGCGGCTGTGGAGACGGTAAGCTCAAGGGTAAAGCACTTGCCTTGCGGGCGTTGAGAATCTGAGTTTGATTCCCAGAGTTCACACCTGTAACCCCATGATGGGGAGACCCAGGAGGATCCAGGAGTCTCACAGGCCACTAGCCTCTCTGCTTGGTGAGCTCCAGACCCATCAAAGAGCATGTCCCAAAAATAAAACAGAAACCACCTGAAGAATGGAGGGATGTCTCGCTCTGTCTCCTACACACAGTCTCTGCTGCTCAGGGAGACTGGAAGAACGCCCCAGGTGGGTTAAAACAAGACAGAGCAAGCCTGCTATGGCCACCAGAAGGGCCTGGTAGTGACAAGTGCTGTCATGTCACCTCCTCAAAGATCAGCACCCGAAGGATGCATCCCTGTTATTCCAGAGGCAGAGGGGCCCGTGGACCAGGGACACCTTCTGATCCCACGCCAATAATGTCCTGCTCAGCCTGAGGGCTACAATGGAGACCACACAGTGACCGCTCCAGCCTGCGCCTGACAGCCGCCTCCCACCTGCCCACTCAACCCTCTTCACCCTTTCCTTGAACCACACCTTTCTAGAATATTCTGCCAAAGGCTCCTCTTAGAGCTGGCTATGACCCAGGCCTTTGCTCCTCTGGGAATCTAGAGAGGAGAAAGGAATGACCGCCCCTCGCTTCTGCGGCTTAAAATTCTGAAAGCAGGAACCAAAGGGAACTAACTGGTCAAGAAACTATCGCAGAATGAGAAACGTTGGGAGAGAAGGGGGGGGTGGGAGGCTGGAGTGAGGGAGGAACCAGAGCAGCTCTCAGGGGAGGGACGGTTAAGTGTCAAGGACGGATGAGTTGATCTCAGACAGGGGAAGGGCGCTGACTGCAAGTGTTTAGGGAGGGGCACATGTGAGGTGAGGGGACACCATGCATAAAACCTTGAGTTCATGAACTTACTCAAGAACATAGAGGACAACGGAGCGTGGAATGTGAGGGCGCGGGTGAGAAATGAGCTGTAGGAATCATGGGGAGCCAAGTGCCTCAGAGCCTTGTGGTTGACTTAGGCTTTTGGATTTTCTCCTAAGTAACAGGAAACTACTGGAGAAGTTTCCAGAAATTAAAACCATGATCCTAACGCTGACCCACAGGCTCTTATCTGAATTACAGATCCAGAGAATTCACAAACCAGATCTTTTTAAAATTCAGTGCCAAATTCATTTGTCAGATCTGACCTGAGGGGAGGGGTGATGAGATTCAATCCTCTTCCATGGTCCCAGACAGAGAATGTGGGAGACAAATTAAGTACAGGTGTGTGAAACAAAACCAAAATTGGTTCTAACCCATCCCGGGCTCTCAGAAGAGGCCTCACACACTTGGGAACGGCTCACACAGCCCATCCTCTCTAAGGCTGCCTCAGCCGCTGTGTGCTCCCAAGGAGAAAGGGAGCTCACCCACCACCCCACAGAGCTCCCACACCGGAACAGGCTGCACAGACACAGGGAGAGAGAAAGACAGAGCCCTGGGCTCAGCCGCCCAGGTGCCCAGGCAGCAGCCTCACAGAGGACGCACATGGATTGTCCCTGGGATGCCCACCCTGTTCCCGTGACTTCATGATGCTTTCAGAGAAACCTTTTGATTACTTCAATAGTTGACTGTTTTTGTAGTTAAAACAACAGAAACACACATACAAAGTAGAATACAAATACACACATGCAATTTTGTTTTTAAAGAGAAACCTTGTTGTCTGGCATAGCTCAGCACAAGCCCTGTGCAAGAGGTTAATTTAACATCATGATTATCAATCCTCTGGAGGCCCTGAGGGAATATGTCACAAGGCTGGAGATGTTACTGGAAGAAACTGAAGAGCAATGGCTGACATCGGGGGCCCCTCACACAGATCTCAGAGCACAGCAGCCAGCCTCCTATTTGGGAAAACAGTTTGGATTTCATGTGAGGACTGTGGGTGGTCACAGAAAATACCAGCAGATTCAAGTGACTTGGCCTGGACAGTGAGAAGTCGTCCCCTTCCTCCCCCGCCCCAGCAGCTCAGCCCCTGAGGTGTGCACTTACGTCGGGGGTCCCTGACCAACGCCATGGGAGGACTCAGCACCATCAGTGTCAGGACCACAGCTGCCACACAGGGGCCTCCGGGGAGCCACAGACACACCATGCTAGAGGAGAGGTGGTGGTCTCACACCCTGGAAACTATCTCCCCTCTCCATGTACACCCCAGGTCAGAAGAAACAGGGGATTCACTGCTTTGGTGCTGTGTTGAGTAAGGTCAGTGCTGAGGAGCCAATCAACATCAGATGTAAACAGCATCATCAGTTGCTAGTTAGAAATTCAGTATGAGGGTCCTCTTTCAAACCAGCAATTTCTTTTTTCTTTAGTATTTTAAATGCTTGATCCAGTCGCAGCTGAATCACTTTCATCCGGCCACAGTGCTGAGCCAGCTCTGCGATGCTCTGTCATTCACTCACCAGTCTGAGCACCTGGGGAGCATTCACCTCTCCTACTCAGGGCTGATGGGACAACTGTGTGTTTGAAGCTCCTGAGAGTAAAGGAAGTGAGGGAGATGACCTTTAACCTGGTGCTTACTGCCCCACAGCCTCCCCTGGTAACTGATGATGTGGCAGAACGCCAGCTCTTGATTGGACAGTGGAATCTGTACTTCTTCAGCTAGGGAAATCTCTGACAAGCTAAAGGGAACTGAAGGTTAGTCATGGTCTAGTCCTGCAGGGGGCATTTCCAGTTCAGTCCCTGAACCATTTCTGATTCAGTGGAGCCTCCAGAAGTTCAGGCGAGGGTCCCTGTGGTTATCCACAGCCCAGTCCTCAAGGGAAAAGCTCAAAATGGAGGCTGGGGGTAGGTGGAGGTTTTGTTGGGACCATTAGCTCCCCAAAAACCAACATGGAGACTTATTAATTATAAACACTCAACCGATAGCTTAGGCTTGTTACTACCTCTTACAACTTAAATTAATCCATATTTCTTATCTATGTTCTACCACATGGCTTGGTACGTTTTCTCAGTACAAGTTCATCTTGCTTCTCTCTGAGTCTCCTGGCAACTCTGCCCTTCATCACCCCACCACACCCATGCTCTCCTTTCCCCTGTCTACATGCCTCACCTAGCTATTGGTCATTAGCTCTTTATTAAACTAATGAGAGCAACACATCTTCACAGTGTACAAAAAGATGATTCCATAATATCTGGGCATCCTGGGAAGATGAAGGTGGGATCCTGCCAGGTTTCAGTTAAAGTCCTGAGAACAACAGTCTGGGGAGTATGGAGTGTGCCGCAGAGCTGGATTCAGACCGAAGCGGTTCTCTGACTTTGCCTGCAGCCATAGAAGATGTGCTCATCTCTGTGGGTGTCAGCTGGAGGCAAGGCTCCTCTTCCTGATGTTGTTGACTCAACTTACCTGGTTTTATATCCGTTAGCACAACACACTGAAGTCAGGTCCAGAATTGCTGTGGATGCACAGGGAGGGAACTGGAATTCTCACATCCTTGAAGATCAATACTGTACAGGGAAAAGTATAGCAGGCTTTCTTTTGGACCACTAACCAGCTCCCAAATCATGACATGGAGACTTATTATTAGTTATAAATGCTCGGCTTTACATTAGATCTTATTTTCATCTGTCTCTCTGCATCTATGTTTTGCCTCAGGGCTTTTTACCTTCTGTATGTCCTACTTTCCTGCTTCTCATGTCTGTCTGTCTGTCTGGTGGCTGCTTAACTTCTGGCTCTAGGGCATATCCCTCTCTTTCTCCTTTGTTCTCTTCTATCTTCTTCTATTTCTTCTCTAGCCTAGATTTCTCCTCCCACTTATTCTCTCTGCCTGCAGCCCCACCTATCCCCTCCTGCCTAGCCATTGGCCATTCAGCTTCTTAATTAGACCAGTCAGGTGTCTTAGGTAGGTCTTACAAGGTGAAACAAATGTAACACATGTTTACATAATTAAACAAATTCCACACAAACAAATGCAATACATCTTTACATCAATAACAAAAGCAGCAGAAACAAATGTAACATACCTTTATGTAGTTAAAGTAATAATCTGCAGCATAAACACATGTAACACATCTTTGCCCAGTTAAAATAATATTCCACAATGGAAAAGTTTACATTTTCTTTCCCCATCTAAATCTCCATGGCAAAGCATCGACCCCCTGAAAGTTCAGACTAACACCGGGCAGATAAAAGTACTAGCAAGTTAACCAATGACCTCATGCATGCTGGGCAAGCGCTTGCCACTGAGTTACAGCCACAGACCCCACTTTCACTTTGGGACAGGAGTCACTGTTTCACAGATAACCTTGAACTTGTGGTCCTCCGATCCTAACCTCTAGACTAGCTAACATCACAGACTTGGGATCTAAAAGGTCCAAGTAGGAAGATTTTTTTCTTCTTCAGATTCATTTCAGTGTTCCAGGACTTACCATCCTGCGGCTGCATGTGGTGTAGACAGTGTGGAAACTGATCAACCTGGGGCTGAGGAGACGGCTCAGTCAGGAAAGTGCTTACCACACAAGCTTGATGGCTCAGCTTGATCCCCAGCACCTACGTAAAATGCTAGACGCATGGCACATGACTGTAATCCCAGCACTGGGGAGGCTGAGGCAGAAGGATCCCTATGGCCTGTTGGCCAGGCAGCCCAGCCTAGTTAGCAAGACTCAGGTCCCAGTAAAAGACCCTGTCTCAAACAAGGTGCACGGCTTCTGATCCTAATCAACCTCTGGCTGTGATATGCACAGGCACATATGCATACACACACACACACACACACACACACACACACACGAATGCATCCCTGTGCACATAATAGAAATCAACTTGCTCAATCATTATCTTTACAATCCATTCTGTAAATCCTGTGGATAGAATGTTGTTTACTAAAAATCAACAATAGTCTTTTATTCACCTCATTAAAAACCCATCCCAGCTGATGAATAAGTTTCTAACTAAAGCATAAAATAAGTAGCATGTATTCACAGTAACATTTTATATAAGTAAAATCAACTTAAGCATCTAACCAGCAAGCCTCAGAATGTGTAGGGTGGGTGAGCTCCTCCAGTTGAAATGCCGTTCTTGACATCCTATGCCAGTAAACCCAGCATCGTCCAACATCGAGGAGCTGCACTCTGACAGAATTCTCAGACACCACAAGTAACTGAGTCACCATGCTCTGACAACCATGAAAAGAAACAGTCCTCAAACCCACAGGCAGTTTTGTGTCCATTAGCAGCTTTGTGGCTACAAGAAGCCTGCTGCGTGCACGCCTCACCCCCACACGCTGTGAGCATCCCGTAGTGGAGACCTGTGGGTAACTCATCAGTTTTCCTTTCAGCAAAGCTGAAGCTGCACAGCAGAGGCCACTGAGGAATCCCACACTCCCCTGGGAAGCACGTGGGGGGAGGGGCAGGCTGCCTACAGTTGGAGTAACTGCCGCCTTCTCAAAGAAGCCAGGGGGCCTGCTGCCTGGACTCTTCACCCTTTCTCTTCAGAGAGAGGTGTTTGGTTCCTGAAGAAGCCCCACAAAAGATCACCATCCACATATGCAATCAGCAAGAGTATTTATTATTCCAGCATGCTGTGGTCTGCCATCCCACACAAAGGCAAGATGGTGGTGACCCCAAGAGGGATGTGCGGGCTCCTTTTAAGCATAGCCAGAGGGAGGTCCTAAGGCAGTTAGGTCACTTTGGATATGTTTGGCTCAAGCAAGTGGCAATCATGTTGTGCATTCTAATTGGCCTGGGCTGGTCAGGGGCTGGTGAGGGATACAGTTTTCCACTTTTTGGTAGGCCTGGACAAGTGCCAGGCTTTGTCCTTATTGGGTTATCACCTTGAGCTGTTTGTGGCTCAGGACTGCACTGTATGTACCAGGCCTCCTTATGCTTGCTGATGGGGGTGTTGGAGATTGATTGTCCTCTGTTCATGGCTCTTTTAGAAACTGTTTATTCAGTCTCAGGAAACTGAAATTGAGGCCCGATCTCTGAGAGGAGACTGAGCAGCCTCTTATGGGGTCTGCTGGGTCCTCTCATTCCCCCTTTGAGTAAGTTCATCATCTCAAACCTTGGAGATGTTTCTAATTGGTAAGAGACTTTATCATCAAGGTAGTAGACTATTCTGGAGTCTTACTAGACCAGGACACAAGAATTTTTTTTATTTGATTCAAAACCTGAGTATTAACATAGGGGGGCTGAGTATTAACATAGGGGGTGAAGCCAGAGGCAGCCCATCACCAGGTCCCCTCCAGCGGTATCAGGAAGCCAATTCCCATTGGATTCCGAGTGAGACTGCAGAGGTGGGAATGGCCATAAGGAGGTTGTTCCAAACAGAGACCGTTTCTATTACCAACGGCAAAGTGAGCCTTCCCTTGTTTGTTTGTTGCCATTTGCAAGTGTGTCATGAGTTTGGTCCAGGGGCTGATATTGGGATTCTAGCATCATCAGTTCAGTGGTACCCAGACAGGAGTTATCATTTAGTTATGGCATCAGTGACACAAAAGCCAACAGCAATTAGCAGAAGCAGAGGGGCCAAAGGTCCCGTGATGACTGACAGAGTTCCTTATCCAGAGGAACTTGAAAATGAGAATGGGAACCAGTTATTATTTTATCTCAGGTTCCCTATGACAAGAAATTCCCTTTTGATCTAACATTCCAGGGGGGAACAGGAGACGATGTATTTGCTTCTGTAATTACTTCCTGCTGACATTAGGAGACTGTTGTCAGGGCCCTGGACGTCTAGAATGTTAGTAAAAGGCAAGGAGGGAATTTAGAAACATCTGATTCATTGACCAGCTGAAGAGACAGCATTAACATTGGTTGGATTGGTCCATACCAGCTCTCAGTAAGTTCAGGGTTCACAGTCATTTGGAACAGGTTGTCATCAGCAAATGGTGCTTGGATGTGTCTATCAGCCAAGTGGAAACCTGTTAAGACAGATACAAACTAGGAGCAGAAATTAAAATTTATGAACTTATTTGGAACTTTTAGGCCCAGTCTCAGTAATTGAGGAAGGGGAGGATTCCCAAGACCAGGAGTGAGAGAAATACCATCCTCAGGAGTAAACAGATGGGGAAACCTAGTCTGTATTTATCTGGAATCCTTTTGATCTGCAAGATGTAGATCCAAGTTTTATGACATCTTTAATTCTTTGAAGTTTATGTGAATTTACATTTTATGAAAAGACATAAAAGTTTCAGATATATCAGTATTATCAATTTGTATTGAAATCCATATTGTAGAAAAAGCAGGTAGCAGGTATCTGTAAAACAGCAAAAGTAGATTCTTATCTTTGAGTCCTAGCAAAAGCTCCAGATTTGGATTAAAAATCATGTACATTTTCCTTCTGTCTAGAGAGTCAGGTATAGATTGGACTAAAATGTCTTTAGCCCAATGAAAAGCATCTGTAAGTCTATATTCAGAAGACAACCAAAAGAAATCTAAAATCACACTTACTTGTGACCCAAACAGTAAGGAGTCATTGCTCTATTGGCTTGTAAGAACTCTATTAATATTCAACTCTGAATTTTTGAAATTTCAATGCAATGACAGTATGTTGATGGAAAGAAATCTTGTGATAATTTTCATATATCTTAAGCCATTTTTATCTTCATAAATTGTATCCTATTTCTCAAAACATTTTCTCAGACCCTTATACTCTAAGCCTTTATGTTTTCAGACCTTTATACCTCTTAGAGCCTTTGAATTTATATAGACTTTCATATCTTTTTTATAAAATCATTTCTCAGAGATATAAGCAGTTATCATTAAGAACAGTCATTTTAAATCATGTTTGAAATTTATATGTCCCTTAATATGAACCTTGTGAGTAAGGCACACCTGATTGCCTTTTCTTTTCAAGAGACCTAATAGCTTTAATTAATCAGTGTATTGATCAATGAACTAACAAGGTGACTGCAGCCTTGTGGAAGACCCTGGGTGTCTGATGCTGCAAAGCTGACAAAGTTACAGTGAGCCTAGATGTCAACACCATCAGAGATCTGAGAGGGATAAATCCTATCTGAGTGAGCAGAAGTGCAGATCAAGCAGCTTCCAAATCTATCAAAAAAAAAAAATTAGAGAGACCATCCCTACCCAGTTAGCCATCCCAGGCCCCTGTGGTCTTCATAGCATTGGCAAGACAGCATCAGTCTTTGGCCTCCAGGCCCATACGATGAGAACTTTCCCTGTGGAGGAGGAACTTGGGGGCAAATCATCTTATTTTGCCTGTGTCTCACATGTCCGTAGTCTGGGTTGGGTCCTGGCAGCAGGTGTTGCATTGAGGCATCTTGCCCAGTGGTCAGTGTTCTTAACAATCAGGTGGCATCATCAGGTTGTTTCCCGTCTTCTTTGGAGAACTTGGGAGTCATTGCTAAGAGCTGGGAGCCTCTGTTTGTCATAGTAAGTTTTTTTAATCTAATAATTCAAAAGCCATATTCATCAGATCTTTGACAAGTTTGAGGACCATTGTCTATTAAATATATCTGAGCTAAACAAACTTAGACCTAAGACCTATATCTTGAAAAATATATCTAAGTTTGGTAACAACAACCAGGCCACTGTAGCTTAAATTCTAACTGGTCTTAATAATACAAACCCAGAGTCAGATATCAGAGTGAAAGCTGAAAGATCAGAGAAGCAGAGCAACCAGCCACTGGAAAGACTTCTGACCTCTACTGAATCCTCGACTGAAAGGGCTGAGCTCCTGTCTCCTCCCGCCTTATATTCCTCTCTCTACCTCCCTAGAGCTGGGATTAAAGGCATGTGCCTCCACCACCTGGCTCTATCTCATGTAGCCCATGGTGGCCTTGAACTTCTGATCTTCCTGCTCTCTCCTTCCAAGTGCTGGGATTAAAAGTGTGTGCCACCACTGCCTGGCCTCTATGGTTAACTAGTGGCTGGCTCTGCACTCTGATCTCCAGGCAAGCTTTATCTGTTAGAACACAAACAAAGTATCACCACAGATCGTCATGGTATCCTGTAGATATATCAGTCAAATGGACCTTTTAGGTTCTGTTTTTCTCTTTTTTTCTTATAAGCATTTTTCCCTATCCATAGACATTGCAGGAGCAGCCAGACTGCAATAGATGTGATGTTGGCAATTTTAAGAATCAGGTTTGGTCGGGGTGTGTGTGTGTGTGTGTGTGTGTGTGTGTGTGTGTGTGTGTGTGTGGTAGCGCACACCTTTAATCCCAGCACTCGGGAGGCAGAGGCAGGCGGATCTCTGTGAGTTCGAGGCCAGCCTAGGCTACCAAGTGAGTTCC